ATAACAGCTCCTTTTACCAAGTACATCACATCTTGCTATGTAGAAAAAAACTACAAGGTATAAGAAAAGACAAGAAAACACTATTTGAAGAGACAGAGCAAGCATCAGAACCAGACACTGTAGGGATGGTGGAATTGCGAACAACTATGATTAATATGCTAAAGACTCTAATGCATAAAGTAGACAGTATGCAAGAACAGATGGGCAATGTAAGCAGAGATGAAGACCCTTAAATAAAAATGCAATTCTATGTTTTAAATATTAGTTAATACATGCAAGTATATTTAAATACAATCAAGAAGGGTACAAACCAAACTATGTACAGTGATTTTCTCTAGGTTATTGTAACCACGATGTAGTATTACTAGTGAACAAAGTTATACATTTTGTAACAAATCCAAGTATACATACAATCAGCTCTGTGCTTTTCACTCCCATTTGCCCCTGTTCCTGAGAAAAGAGGCACCAACACCAACAATGAACCAATGAATCACAGACATCCAGCTGACGCACATCACAAGATAACATCGGAAGAAGAATGAACTTAAAAGGGAAATTCATAGCGATACGTCAGTCCCCTCCCCTTGCTCACATTTCCCTGTCTCAAGATAAACTGTACATCTGCATTCCCCTACTTAATAATTCTCCCCTTCCCAAATTCCCACCTCCTCCCTGTAAGAATCGCTGGCTGGACCAGACACGTTGACATGGTTTTTGAGGTATGAGCGTGACATCTCCTCAGGTAGCTGGCATCTGAAATAAACCACTTTCCCTCTCACCAGCACCTGTCTCATCAGTTGGGTTCTCACTGTGGCAGGCAGTGGAGCCTACGGGGACATTCCCCGTTTCATCATCTCTGGAAGTATAAACAGCTATACCTTCCTATATTTTCCAAATTTTCTATAATGCATATGTTTTTACATTTTTGTTAAGATCAAAAGTTTATAGGAGTCTAAATTAGCTGAAACTAATTGAGAGAGCTGAGACTAACCCACCCATCTCAAACTCTAAACAGCTATGAGAAAAAGACAACTAGGCAAAAGCAGAGGAAGAGGACCCAGGAGCTCAACCTGCTATTAAACAGAAGAGAGAACAATAACCTGTGAGTTCCTGGTAAGTGAAATGGAACATGCTATTGTTCTTAGATTCAGAAAAGAGTGGAACACGAAGGAATAACAATTAGAAAAAAATATTTTAAAGACCCTCACCCCTTGGTCTGCTAGCACACAGGAGCTTTACAGGGCAGCATCAGAGATAAGAAGAGAGAGGTCAACTCCTCTCCCCAAACTTAACTGCTTTGCCAGATTAGATAAAACAGAGAAGAAATGAAGGGTCAAAAGTACCTAAGGCATCCCTTGCAGTAGTAGGGAGTGAAATGTCCCTTACATAGAAAGTCAGGAGTGGGAAGATTAGGATGGGCGACATACATTCTGATTGTTTTGAGTCACATGAAATGAGCAAAAGCAAAAAGCAGGCAAAAGATACACATCAGCTGGGATAAAACATGTAAAAAGGTAATGTAACAGTTCATTTTGTGTGTCAACTTGGTTAGGCAATGGTGCCCAGTTATTCAATCAAATGGCAGTCTAGCTATTGCTGTGAAGGTATTTTTTAAGATGTGATTAAGATTTAAATCAGTATAATCTAAATAAAGAGAAGTACCCTTCAAATGTGGCTGGGCCTCATCAAATCAGCTGAAGGCCTTACAAGGAACTGAGGTTTCCCACACAAAAAGAAATTCAGCTTCAAGACTGCAATACAGAAACCATGCCTGGATTTCTAGCCTGCTGGCTTGCCTACAGTTTCAGACTTGCCAGCCCGCACAATTGTGTGAGCCAATTCCTTAAAATGTAAATCTCTCTATTATACCTTCTCTCTCTCTCTCAATATAGAGATATATATACACGCACGTATAAGGATATACCTATATCTATGTGCGTGTATATATATAGAGATACACATAGAGATACATAGAGATACAGATATATCCTAATACTTCTATTTTTCAAAGAACCCTGAATAATGCAGGTAATAAAAAATTAAATCAGACTTCCAGCTAAGATGGAGGTGCAGGTAAACACGCTTCGCCTCCGTACACAACTACAGAAAAAAATTACAACTAGACTACAAACAAATTTCACCCAGATTCATCAGAAAATCAGGCCATATGGAAGTCCAACAACCAAGGATTTAAAGAAGTGACATTCATCCAGACAGGTAGGAGGGGTGGAGATGTGGCAGCACAGGGATGCGGTAGAATGGGTGGTCCCACATTTACTTGTGGTGGATAAAAAAATGGCAGGCATACCTCAGAGAAGAAACGATCCCAGTCCCAGAGCAAACCACCCAGCCCAGTTTTCTAGCATGAGGAAGATAAGTTCCCATAACTCCTGGCTGCAAAAACCAGGTTGGGGCGGAAATAAACTGTGGGATTCTCAAGAAACTTCTCTTAAAGGGCCTGCAACAGACTTAGGACTCACACAGACCCATCCCCTCTGGTATTCAACACAAGGGCAACAGCTGGAAGGGCACAAGTGGCATATGGGGAGAGGGGAAAAAACAAGTCAATGGCAAGGGGGCGAGTGCTGGGGAGACACCTTCCTCTTGGGCAATCTCCAGAGGCCAGGCAGTGGCACTGTCCATTCTCTGAGCCCTCTCCCACAGAGCCACAAAGTGGTGAATGGGGTTGCCCCACCCTGGTAACTACCTAAGGCTCCATACAATATACAGGTGCCTTTTCTACAATAGGCTATGCTGCTAAGACAGGGAGTCAAAGCAGCTCTACATAATACACAGAAACAAACACAGGGAGGCTGAGAAATTGAGGACACAAAGAAATATGGCCCAAATTAAAGAAGAGACCCAAAGCCCAGGAAAAGAACTAAATGAAACTGAGATAGCCAACCTATCAGATGCAGAGTTTAAAACATTGGTTTCCAGGACGCTCAAGGAACTCAGTAAAGACTTGTAAGGTAAGTGGAAGCAGTCTGGCTTCCTCACCCAGGTGTCTGGGTAACTGAGGGAAGCAGTTTCTCACAACCTTGAAGGGGTCTGACAAAGTAGTGTTCTCGTAGCCTTGAGACTGGGTCTCACAGACTTGAGTCTGGGTCCGATAAATGGTTCCCATAACATGACTTTGGCTCACATGTGCAGCTCATGCTATGTTACCTAACTGGTCCATAGCCAGCTTTGTTCTTGCTCATACTTAAAAAGGTAGGGGCTTCTTAGAGTGGCATGTAGACTTAGACAGGTTATGGCCTACATGGCTCCCTCGAATAAAGGCATGTCAAGCACCCCCACAGCTCCAAGTACTTTCTTCCATCTACCTGAGCCTCGAGTGGACCTGCCTGGCCTAGATAAGGCTCCAACACAGGACCTCAACAGCATAAAAAAGATCCAGTCAGAAGTGAAGGATACACTAATGGAAATAGAGAACAATTTACAGGGAAACAACAGTAGAATGGATAAAGCCAAAAATCAAATCATAGGGATATGGAACATAGGAAGCAAAAAACAACCAAGCAGGACCACAAGAAGAAAAAAAGAATCCAAAAAAAGGAGAATAGTGCAAGCAAACTGTGGGACAACTTCAAGTTTTCCAACATTCGCATCATAGGGGTGCTAGAAGAAGAGAAAGAGTTAAGAAATTGGAAATCTATTTGAAAAAATAACAAAAGAAAACTTTCCTAATTTGGTGAAGGACATAGACATGCAAGTCCAGGAAACACAGACAGTACCAAACAAAATGGACTCAAAGAGGACCACACCAAGGCACAGCATAATTGAAATGCCAAAGGTAAAAGATAAAGAATCTTAAAAGCAGAAAGAGAAAAGCAGAGAGTTACCTACAAAGGAGTGCCTGTAAAACTGTCAGCTGATTTCTCAAACTTTCAGACTAGAAGAGACTGGCAAGAAGTATTTAAAGTGATGAAAAGCAAGGACCTACAACCTAGATTCCTCTATCCAGCAAAGGTGTCACTGAGAATTGAAGGGCAGATACAGTGCTTCCCAGACAAAGTAAAACTAAAGGAATTCATCATCACCAAGTCATTATTATATGAAATGCTAAAGGGTCCTATATAAGATCAAAACTATGAACATTAAAATGGCAAATTCACAAATTCACAACCATCAACAACTGAATCTAAAAAACAAACTAAGCAAACAAGCACAAGAGGAACAGAATCATACACGTAAAGATCACTTGCAGGATTATCAGCTGGGAGGAGTAGGGGTAGAATGGAGGTAGGGGGCAAAGACACAGGGATAAAGTACTACAAATTGGTAGGTAAAAAATATACAAGGGGAAGTTAAGATCAGTGTAGAAAATGGAGTAGCCAAAGAACTTATATGCATGATCCATGGACATGAACTAAGTAGGGAGATTACTGGAGGGAATGGGGGTACCGGGCAGAGGGGGACAAAGGGTGAAAAATTGGGACAACTGTAATAGTATATTCAATAAAATATATTTTTTTAAAAACAGAGTTATAAAACAGGAGTCAAATATTTTTTAAAAACATATGTATATATGCACATCTATAAATAAAATATATGGACATAGAAAGATATATAAAAATATGTATACATAATTATAGAAAAGTAAAAAAGAAAATAAACAAAAAAAAAAAGATGAAATCTTTTAAGAAAAACCAGTAGGGCAGAATCTTGAACTAAAGGCAATGGAATTAAAATTGAACTGGCAGCAATAACATCAAAGATTCCAAGATATATGAATGCCATGATAAATAATACATTTAATGAAGATTATTTTGGAATCTGTAATATATGTAATATGAACTAGGTCAAAGGGATGCTAGAGTTAGAGTACATTTGGAGAAAGCTAGGCCAAACGATTTTGTGCGCGGGTGTGAAAATGAAAGGGAACACATTCATACAATAAAGATATGGCAACAATTTAACAGGCATATTCTGTATTCGCAAATCTTTAAGTAAAAGTTATACAGGAATACTGTTTACATATAAAGATATTAACTTACCATATTTGTCTCGCAAGCCAACAGTACATCTGAAGACTCCACCAAAGGCAACATCTTCACCAAATATTACTGAAAAATGATGTTTAAAGAACATATTTAATAACCCCTAAACCATAGTAACACTGAGAAATAAGTAATGTAAATGTTTACATTTTAAATCAGAAAACAGAAATGGAACATAGATCCAAATTGCAGTTTCTCAGTTTTGACATTTTGGACATTTTGGACATTTTGGACTGGATGATTCTTCGGTTTTAGCAGCCTGTCCTGTGCGCTGCAGTTACATCGCAGCCTGTCATATTCCTGATCTCTACCACATGGATGACAGTTGCCCCTCACACACAGCTGTGTCTCTAGGCATTGTTACATTTAAGAGGAAGGGGATTAAAATCACTCCAGTTAAGAAAGAACCATTAATCTAAAACCTCATCTTATTTTACCAAGAGGAAACTGAAGCCATAGAAGTAGTAAAGTAACTTGCTAAGTCAGAACTATGACTCACACTCCAGGTTCCTGAGTCCCTGGCCAGTGGTTTTTTATATATGGTATATTACAGAATGAGGGTCAGGGATAAGAAGCACTGAAAGCAAAGCACTTCAAACTTACAGAACAGTCACAAATAATTAAGTGACTTAGATTGTGTGAAACAGAAAGGAGGCAAGTATGTAGGACACAGTAAGCAAGAAAAAGAATATAGGTGTAAATTGAGAGGAACTTGTAAGAGAGTAAGGCAAAGAAAATAAAATAATGCAAATAAATAGTGCTAAATTCTAATCACACTGACACACCTGACCAGTTGTGTGTACCTCAGGAAAATAATTTACCCTTCTCTATTCATCTAGATCGATCATTCTTGGAGAGCATTCAAAACAAATCGGACCAATAACCTGTTTTTCATTTGATCTTAAAACTAGGGATTCTCAGGTAGAAGCCAAAGGTATGAAGTACAGCCAATCAAATTTTTTAAAATACAACAGGACTACTCTTTTTATATTAATAACTTAACTTGATAAGAGAAAGGTTAAGTTACGTATAAAGTTAGTCTACTCCGCAAAAATCTTGCAAGTTGAATGACAATGTATCCTAAAGGAAATCACAAAATCAAATCTTGACTTTTATAGATAGCTGAACAAAGTGATATTTTCTTTTTTTAATATGCTAGAAAAATAGGAGTACACAGTAGTTATTAATCCAGAAGGTATTAATATAATGTCAGTACCTCACATACTATGGGAGAAAGTTAATTTGATGATATCAGATATACATGAGAACTAATTCGTAATGAGCACATTAAAAATGTGTTAAGAACATAATTGGATTATTAAATCTTAATCATTTGGTCATGTCTCTCATAAATTTCAGGTAGCTAAAATGTTAACCAGTAAATTCCAGACGAATATTTCTAGCATATCTTTAATTCTGAAGTAACCCAGCTACCACAATCAAGCACAAAGGAAGTTTACCTGCAGTAGGATCTTTAGCCAATGAGTTGTCCAAGGCACTTGTTACTGCCTGGAAAAGATTCATTTTCTGAGTTTGCCCTGTAAAAATAAAAATTAAATTTTTAAAGTCATACTTCATGCACAGTAAAATATATTAAAATAACTCATTTCTTAACTGTTATTTACAACTTGATTAAAATCAAAGTTGAAAGGAAGGTACAGAACACATTACATGAATTTATTGGATTATTTACAATGCTGATGGCTCCATGGAAGATACAAAAGCAACACAGAACTAAGGAGGGCTGACGACAAGGCAAAATTTACAAATATTAAACAATTTTTTAAAAGTATAAAAAAAAAAAGAAATATAATCAAATGGCCAAAAGTGTGCAAAAAATATATAAAAGTTATGCAATGTCAGGAAAGGTTACCACCCAGCATAAGAGTAGTCTGGGAAAATACCCTAGAGGGAGGTTAGGAACACAAGCCATAAGGAATGCACAGGACCAGTGGAATGTGTTAAATAGGCCAATGAAAGCAAATGGTCAAGCAAATGGTCACAGGCCATAAAACAATGAGGAACGCTAACAAATGAATTTTAGTACCCAGAACTGCTGGTGTTTGGAAAGTACTAGACTCTCATGCCGAAACACATCAGACTTGGTTCTTCCTGTTATTTTATTGCTCAAGTCAGAATCCCTGTAATCCAACCTCAATCCTCCTAAATGGGTTAAAGGTACCAAAGCTTATAAAACAAGTAGAACAACACACAACACAATGAGTGATGAATAAATATTAGCTATTTGCGATTAGTTATTTATGGACTTTGTGTCCTTCCTCTTGACCTGGGCACTATTCTTAAGGGCACAAAGCTTTAGTTGATAAAGTTTCAAATGTCGAAATTCAGAAACATTATGACTTTAGAGGTATGATTTAAGTCTCGGTGCTGCCCAGTGCCCAAGGTCACCCTAGAGCTTTGGGTCAACTCCTCCGAAACCACATTCAGTTTAGAGAAAGGCTTCTGCCAGAATCTTCTCTGATCCCCAGGCCCAGTCTTCTTTTTAGTGCCTAATCTCTGCACTAAAGTGGTGCTCACTTTAACCCATAGCCACGCAAATAGCAAATCCCCTCAACACCGGCGCTTACCCAGACCACTGCCCCATCCAGCCTCTGTGCTCCTCGGTAGCCCGGTCTGTTCCAAAATCCACAGTCTTAATTCCCAGGATGGGACACAACGGCTACTGCTTATTATTCACTGCCTTCAGCCCTCTGGCCAGGAGACACTGGTCACTCATTTTTTCCAGTAAACCCATCTTCTTCCCAAGACTCCATGGCAGTCTCTGACCTATGACATCTTGCATCTTCACTGACTACTGACACACGGCCTACTATTTCTCTGTCTGCTCTAGCCTCCAATGTCTCTCTAACCCCTTCGACACTGCTAAATGCCCAGACTTAGGTCTTGACAATGTCCAGTCAGGTCTGCCCTGCTGCCCTGTGTGCCCAGAATAAAGGCCTGTTTCTAGGTTTATTTCTCACAAGGATAACAGGAACTTATTCAAGAAAATATTGTTATATCGACTATGTCAGAGGAAACACAATCACACCACATGTCCATGATCACTTTATAATTTATTTTTCTTGAGGCTAAGGCTATATCATTTAACAGATACCTGCCTTAAATCCTTCTCCAGTCTATAAAAACTCTTGAGAGCGTTTATTAGTGCTCAGCATCGGATGGTAATGGTTTAGGGTAAATGTTTTTCCCAACCACCATGACATTCCCACTCTCCTACTGCATACATTTCATAAAGTAAGATTTTTGTTTGTCGACTAGGATTTTCATATCCTAGGTAAGAACCTAGGAAGGTAAAAAATGCCTAAACAATAAATAAAATAATGCCTAAACAAATAAATAAATGGTATTTATTTCAAGTCTGCTGACAAAATTAATACTGAATGTTCTCAAGATATCTCATCATGTTGCTGCTTAGCAAATTTCCAGTCAGAAGAAAACAAAGACTTAAATAAATAATAAAAATCACACAAAGTAAATCTGGAAAGTATCATTTGATAACCACAAAGAATTTACTCATCTTGCATGAAAATAATTTACAAGGGTATTTAATGGTACTATTTCCATGTGAACACACAAACTTTCACTACTGAATATTTTTTTCAAATAAATTCAAAATTTTAGGGTTTTGGATTAACTGCTATTCTACCAGATGTTTTTAAAAGTTTTATGAAAAATATTTTTTAATTTTTAAATAATTTTTATTTTTCAATTACAGTTGACATACTGTATATAAGTTTTGGGTGTGAAATACAGTGATTAGACGTTTATATAACTTAAGAAGTTATCACCCCAATAGTCCTAGTACCCACCCAGTACCCTACATAGTTATTACAGTATTATTGACTATATTCCCTATGCTATTTTTTACATCCCCATGATTATTTTGTAACTACCAATTTGTACTTCTTAATCCCTTCACCTTTTCCACCCATCCCCTTCAAACCCCCCCATTTGACAACCATCAACACGTTCTTAAGTGACTATTTTCAACAGAGCAACATCTACATACTTTCAATTCTTTTTAAAGTTGTACTATGCTCTGTGGATAGGTCAGGAAAAAAATCACAAGTCACTCACAGGTAAGATCATTTTGAGTATTTAATTTCCTTGTAAGTACTTACTCTTCTGTAGCTTACACCAAAGATCATTGGTAGAATATGCCTGTGTTCCCTCACGATAAGATAAGCACACCTACAGCACATCTAACCAAAGTCATGCCACTGCTAAGACCTTTACAAAGAAAAAAGAAAGGTGGTCTATGAACACCACTAAAGCATGCCAGAGAGCACATAATCTTAACTATCTAGTAATTTCCATCGTCAGCTGCTTTCTCCTACCTTTATGGAATCTTTCGTAGTTCCCTATTTAATTTCAAATGCATAACAGAAACTGCAAACTGTTACTCTCCAACGCGTTTACCTCAGTTTGTTGAGATCTTGCTTCCAGTTATATCCTATTTGGATCAAAACAATTTTTATAAAACTTATCTACGGGTTTGGATGTTCTTACATCAACATATCCAACAGTCAGCAGTTCTCCACTTGGGTGTCTTGGTCTTTTTAAATTCATCAAGCACAAAACTGAATTCTTGATGTCTATGCCCAAGATGATACTTTCACATTTTAGCAAAGAACACTATCCTCCACCCAGCCGCCCAAGGCAGAAACCAAGGAGTAATGAATAAAAAGAAGACATCCATTACTGACACCCAATCCATCAAATCCAACTTCTAAAACACAGCTTAAAATGTGGCACTATTTCCAGAACCCACCATCTCTTTCCTGTTCCAGAAAACCATCTCCTAACCACCTGTCTTCATTAGCTCTGGCTGCTAAAACAAAATACCATGGATTGGGTGGCTTAAACAACAGGTTTGGAGGTTGGAAGTCCCGACCAAGGTAAGTTCCTGGTGAAGGTCCTCTTCCTGGTTTGCAGAAGTCCACCTTCTTGCTGTATCCTCACTTGGTGGAGAGATAATCTCTCTTCTTATAAGGGTTCTAATCCCACTCAGGAAGGCTCCACCCTCATGACTTAATCACATCCCAATGGGCCCATCTCCAAATACCACCACATCAGGGATTAGGGCTTCAACACAGGAATGGGTGGGGGTGGGGGGTAGAAACACACAGATATTCAGTCCATAGTACTGCTTCCAAATGTGCATTTTTTCATCCGTCCAAATCACTCATCCAAAAGCTGCTATATGAGGGTCCTAAGAAGCAATGCATGTCATATTACTTCTCTGCTCAAAATCCTTCAAAACCTCTGTACCTTGGAAAAAAAGCCCATTTCTCACCACATCCACGAGATCCTGCTTGATCTCACTGCTGCCCACCTCATTATTCCCATTTTGCACTACTGTCCCCAAGGCTCGCCACTGGAGTCTCTTCTCGATTCTATCAGACCAGGTTCCTTGCCACCTCAGGGCCTTTCCGCATGTTGCTCCCTCTGCCTGGACTCCCACCCCCACCCCCACCCCCTTGAATACTCCTTTCTGATCCCTCAGAGGTTGGTTAAATGTAACCTCTTCTTAGAGGCCTGCCAGGTCTCTAGTATTCTTTTTCCTAGCACCTCAACATTTATTTCATTTATTGCCACTGGGATTGATTTAAGTAGGCATTTGCTTACTATTTCTTGTCTGTCTCCCCCACTAGACGGGCTCATCTCCATTTCCTTAAGCACCTAGAACAGAGTTTGGTATCCACCAGAAAATTAAAATGTGTGGAATGAATAAATAAAACAAACCTACACATATACACAATGCCTGAAATCAGGGGCAGCAAGAGGCCTGGCTGAATGTGCTATTCCTGCGGAGCAACACAGGGCGATGTCGGGAGCAAACACAGTGGCACAAGGCAGGCCTGGCCAGAGTCTGTGAAGCCATTTACATCCTGTGTGACTTTGGGAAAGTTCTTTAACCACCTCTAGAAAATAGAAATATCTGATGTAGAGAGCTGTTGGTGAGAATTCAGTAAGGTGATTACTATCCAATGCCCAATATTTAAGAAGCATCTACTCTATGCTGGTTACCTTCCATTTCCCCTAATTAGGGAGACTGACTCTAGTACAACAGGTACCAGACACCAGTAATTACATGTATTATCTCACTAAATCCCCCTGGCAAGATCCGAGGCAGCACAGATGACGATAAGAAAGCTTATGAAGACTAATAAATTTGGGCAATGCTAAGTCGGAAAGTGGGGCTCTCTGAACCCTGTCCTTTTGGGTTTTTATGGAGACTTCATGACATAGGCATAATTGACTAAATCACGGGCCTCCGGCAATTCCTTCCATCTCCTGGCCCTCCCCCTCCCCAGAGGTCAGGTGGGTGACAGTGAAAGTGCCAACTCTCCAGTCACAAAGTTTGTTCCGCTGGTGACCAGCTCCATCCGTAAGTGACTTAGAAGCTTTCCAAGTCAACATTAACATAATGAAAGACACCTTTATTGCTCCCATCACTGGAAATTTCAAGGATTTTAGGAACTCTGTGCCATTAGTGGAACAAAGACTAAATATGTATTTTTTTATTATAAACTATAATATCAGAGTACACCTGTGATTTTAGCGTGACACCCAACACTCACACTCTCATACATACAGATAGGAGTATAAAATGGAAATCTAAACTATGCATTAAAATCCATTAAAGTGTTCATTTCTTCAAGTCAGAAACATCATCCCTGGGGCTTTATCCTAAAGAAATAATCTCAGATACATAAAAGGCACATGAAGTTCTTCTATCTGCATTATTTATAACACTACAAAACTGTGACAACGAAAGCATAATGGTAATTATTTGAAGTTTCCATTTAGTGCTAGGTAGAGCCAGAGACTGTGTTACATATATCATACACATAATCTTTATTTAGTCCTCATAACAACCTTCTGAAGTACATATTATTATTAACTCCTTACTTATAAAGAAATTGAGGCTTACAGAGGATAAGTGATCAGTCCAAAGTTATAGGTAGCAGGGCCAAGACAAAACCTAGGACAATCTGATTCTGAGGGAGAAAATAATTAAGAAGGAGGAAATTCCAAGGTGCCCCAGAGCAAGGGCATCAATACAGGACAGAGATCCTTTTCTAAGACAGTTATTCCTGCTTTCTGGAAAAGCACTAAATCATGGTGAATCATGAATGTACCCGCACAGAAGATGCTACATGACCCCTGCTTCATTATAATACATTATAATAAATTAGCATTGTGGGATCCCCTTCCCTGATGGCCAATCAAGGAAAATCATGGGAGACCACATACGCAGTAGCTTTAAAGTAAGGTAACTACTTGTGCAGTATAACCCCGCCAAAATTAGCCAGGAAATATCTGCCCATGAGAGTAGAAGCCCTGCAGCCCCTGAGGTCAATCTCTGCTCGCAGTTGGCCCGCTCCCTGTTCTGTACAGTGTACTATCGACTAATAAATTTGCTGTCTCTCTTTCTGCTATAAATTCTCTGTGTTCAGTTCAATTCTTTGTCTGCAATCACCAAGAACCTGGTTACCTGTGCCCACCTGCGACAATTCTGGAGCCAAGATTTTAACCACTCAATTATGGTGTTCCTACTCCACAGAAAATGTCTTCTAAATAAGCTTATAAAAAACAACATGGATGGAACTGGAGAATATTATGCTAAGTGAAATAAGCCAGTCAGTGAAAGACAAATACCTTATGATCTCACCTATAAGTGGAATCTATTCAACAAAATAACGACCAGAGGAATGGAAACAGAGAGCAGACTGAAAGTGACCAGAGGGGAGGAGGGAAGGACGACAATGGTGGAAAGAAGGAGAAGGAACTAAACAAAGAACATGCATGAATGACCCATGGACATGGACAACAGAGTGGGAATTGATTGTGGGAGAAGGGGGAGGAGGAAAAAAGGGGGGAAATTGAGAAAACTGTAATAGAATAAACATGATTTAAAAAGAAAGAAAGGGAAAAAGAAAGGAAGGAAAGACAAAAAATAAGGTTATAAAACTATGTAACAATATGGAAGATGCTTTAAATTAAATAATGCAGATTGTGTTTGTATTAAAAATATAATTATGAGAAATTTTAATTCCACTAATTTTATTAGAATAATTTAATTCCACTAAACTGGAAGAAACATCTGGAAGGATACACCCCAAATGTTAGCAATATTTACAGTAATAGGTAGTAAGACTTTTTTTTACTTTTTTCTGTTATCTAAATTATCAATGTCTTTATTTTTATAAGAATATAGATAAAATGTGATTATCATTTCACTCAAATTCTAGCAATTTCACAATTATGTAAAGGGATTAAGAAGACCTATGCTCTATTTCCCAAGCATTGGTTAAGTTTCTTTGCTCTCAGGACAAAATCTGAGGTTCATCATATTAGTGAGAAAACACTGCTATTCACCTTTATGATATCTGCTGTCTCACGAAACTGGGAAACCACAAAGCAAATCATTTCTACATGCATTTCAGCACATGACGAATGTAAACTTCTCAGCACAGTGCCTGCCTATGGTAAGCCTTCAATAAATGTTCATTAATTATTCACAAGTAAAGATGCACTTCAGCTCTAGCACAAGAGAAATTTTTAGACAAGAAAAAGGAAACCATTTTCTTGTTTCCAATGGCCTGATGACAGACACTGGACTTTTAAAGATGACATAAAACTTGCAGGAAAAAATCGTAAAAGTCATGCAACTGTGAGGTGTGCTCCATGTCCTTGCTACCGTTGGAAGCACTGGATGGCTTCTTCCTCCCTTCACCTACATCGATTACCTGTCCTTGGATGAGGGGCAGCCTAGCCCAGCACAAGCTCAGGACTAGACTTAGGTAGGAAACCTGGATTCTTTCCCATCTTTATGAAGATCCTATTCTGTGACCTTGAGAAAATCAATTCAATTACTTCCTCCGTTTTCTCTAAACTACCAAAGGAAAAAAGAAAGATAAATATATATTTCTTTTAAATACCTCTGCCCATTGTTATTGGCCTAGCCCGGGGCAAGCTAGGACTGCAAGACCAAGCCTGGGGAAGCAAGGATGCAGAACACGCCTCCACCCTTGGGCCGCTCTTGACTTTAAAGTGTGATCTGTCTCATCCAGATCGAGGGTGCAGAGGGCTGCCTCTCAAGAGGTGAACAGTCACAAAAATAGAGCCAGGAGGAAACCACAGTCGTACCCTGTCCCAGTCCCCTACGGGAGGAAGAGGCTCTAGAGAGCAGGGCGTGGATAATGCAGGGTGCCCGCGGGCCTGGGTTGCAGTGGGGGCGCACAAGGCAGCCCCCTAGCTCACCATACTCCTGGGTCTCCGGGTCCGGCTGGAAGGTAAAGTGAGCCACCTGCCGTCTCTGGGCCGCATCCCCGACGGCCGAGGCAGCCCGCGGGAAGCCCCGCAGCAGACCCGCACTACACAGCCGACGCCAGTGTCCTCCGGCTCTACACGCACTGAGCCACATCCCACCCGCAGTCGCAGCTTTGGCAGCCATCCCCGCTCGCCGCCGGGGCTTGCTAACTGCGCCGCAGCACACTGCCCACCGAAGGAGCGGAGCACCAAGGCAGCTTCCACATTGGCTCGGCTGAAGGGGCGGTTCCGTGAAACGAACCAATAGGTGCTCGGAATTTAGGGGCGAGAAAGGCGTGGAGAAAAGCCAAACAGCGTTTGTCCCGCGTGCGCATGCGGAAGAGGCGGGGCGTATGTTTGTGGGCAGGTGAGTTCCAATGAAATTGTTCCTGGAGGTGGAGCCTTCCTAACGTCGGCCCAACGATCCAGGGAGCCGGACGCGGTTCTGCAAAGTTCCTGAGTATCCTGGATTTATTCTTTTCGTTTACATTGTCATTTTCGATGCCTTTTTCATTTTAACATGTATACTTTCTTTTGAAATGTAACCCTTTTTACTCTTCTCCTAGTCTTTACCTCTACATCCTGTAAGTAAAGAGAGGAAAGATTACTAAGGGAGGAAAGATTACTGCATTGGGTATCGGTTTTGAGTTTCAGAAAACTTAAAAGAGAGTCACTGCTCGAAACCTCAGCTCTTTATTCAAAGCCTTCTTGAATGATTAATAAGCCTGTATATATTTGTATTTTTTTATTTAGATAACAGTGAAAGAGATAACTGAGATTTCATCCTGCAAATCCATTTATTAATCTATGCATTTTTACCCAAGTGCCCGGAAAATGACCTGACTAGTTTATTTTAATTATCCTAGACACCTGGAGAATTTGAGTCATTAATTTACATTTAAAATAATCAATTTTGTGTTTTTTAATCCAAATATTTAAAAGAATACCTTCTTTGTCCATGGATTTACAAATCATAGTATAATATGACAGAAACAAGAGAGAAAGTAGTTTCATGGGATGAAAGCAGGAGGGTGAGAAAGGACAGGCCCAAAATTTTGAGGGTCTTCATTTGCTGGGTAAGTTTAAATTTCCAACTGTATGCAGTCAGGAACAAAAAAGGGAGCACCAGCAGATTTGTCTGCCCAGCACATTACTTTTTTTTTTTTTTTCCCTGTCCCCACCGTATCATCTGCCTGGTAACAGTGGAAATGTCTATGTTATTAAAGTGGGACCCACCCTGGCCACATCTCGTTGATATTAAGTTGGGAAATGACTGTCATTTTTGTGGGAATTTTGGAAGTATAATTTAGAAAGATAGGCAAAGACTGTCTTTCAGAATGACTCTTGGCTCACTTTCTGTCACTGAGCTTCACTGCCTGTGCAGCCTGTACCTGTTTAGAGCCAGCTTTTGAACATCCCTCTTAAATAGCAACATAATATCTTATAATATTGTATCCTTATACCCTGTTACCTGCTCCCATTTAAACTCAACCAGAGGCATCAAGGAAGTAAGTAGCAAAGGAGTCAAATTCTTGCTTTTGAATTTTAAGATAGATTTTAAAACCAATGGCAGAGACAATAATTGTAGAAAAGACTTTAACTTTTAAACACCTGTTTCTGGCCTTGGCTGGTATGGCTCAGTGGACTGAGTGCCGGCCTGCAAACCAAGGGTCACCAGGTCGATTCCCAGTCAGGGCACATACCTCGGTTGTGGGCCAGGTTCCCAGTAAGGGGCGTGAGAGGTAATCGCACATTGGTGTTTCTCTCTCTTTCTCCCTCCCTTCGTCTCTCTCTAAAAATAAATAATATCTTTAAAGACTGGTTTCTTCTGAGTATTAAACCTCAAGGACCATAATGACTTAGGGTACAAAACTTATAACTTAAACGAAAGATTACAAAGAGCGTGCTAATTTAAGAGCAAGTTTTTCCCGCCTTCCATAAAGGTAGAACACAAAGAACTGCAGGTGTCTTTCTTTTTAGATGGGCCTAGAAGAGTATCATAGGGTTCTCAACCTCATGACCATGCCATGGTGTTTGGAACAGAAGAATGCTTCTCTCATATGTCAAGAGAGATGCAGATATGGTGTCAAGGTCCAGGAAACTTGAGGAGGTCCAGCAGTCAGAATAATAAGGGACTTGTATCCAAAATATACTTTTTAAAAACTCTTAAACTTAATAAAAAAGCAAATTACCCAATTAAAAAAATATGTAAACTCCCATTCACTGGTGGTAGTAAGGCAAAATGGTAGAGCCACTCTGGAATGTGGTCTGGTAGTTTCTTACAAAACTAAACAAACTCTTACTATATGATCCAACAATTGTACTCCTTATGATTTACCCAAAGGAGCTGAAAACCTATGCCCACAAAGAAACCCTGCCCACAAATGTTTATTGCATCTCTAATCATAATTGCCAAAATTTGGAAGCAACCAAGATGTCCTCCATCAGAAGGCGACTGAATGAATAAACTGGTACATCCAGACAATGGAATACTATTCAGGGCTAAAAAGAAATGAGCTATCAAGTCATGAAAAGACATGGAGAACCTTAAATGCATATTACTAAATGAAAGAAACCAATCTGAAAAGGTTACATACAGTATGATTCCAACTATATGACATTCTGGAAAAGCAAAAACTATGGAGACAATAAAAATATCAGTGTTTGTCAGGGGCGGGGGAATGACTAGAATGCACAAAGGATTTTAATGGCAGTGAAGCTATTCTGTACGGTACTTAATGAGACATACGTATAATTATACATTTGTCAAAACCTATAGTCTTTAAAACATCAAGGTAAACTATGGACTTCGGGTGATGATGATGTGTATGAGTTCATTGATGGTAACAACAGTACTGCTGTGGAATAGAATAATGTTAGTGGGGAAGTCTATGTTTGTGTGAGAAGGGGTATATAAGAACTCTCTGGCCTTTCTGCTGATTTTTTCTATAAACCTAAAACTGTCATAAAATAAAGTCTGTTGTTTTAAATGAGCAAAGGTTTTCAATAGACATTTCTCCAAAGAAACTATACAAACAGCAAATAAACACATGAACAGATGTTCAACATTATTACTCATTAGAAAAATGCAAATCAACACCACAATGAGATGCCGCTTCACATCCACTAGGATGGCTAAAATAAGACATCTATAGCAAGTGCTGGTTAGGATAAGGAGCAGTTGGAATCCTGGTACACTGCTGGCGGGAATGTAAAATGGATGCAACTGCTGTGGAAAATAGTTTATCACTATTCGAGATGTTAAACAGATCTATTATTTGACCCAGAAATTCCACTCCTAAGTGTACACCCAAATTAAATATCAATAAAAACTGTGTACATACTAAAACCTGTATACAAATGTTCATAGTAGCTTTGTTCATACTAGCCAAAAAGTCGAAACAATCCAAATGCCCATCAACTATTGTGGATGAACAAAACATAGTATACCTTATACCTATCCCGATGGGTATGGCTTAACTGGTCAGTCATCATCCCACAAAGCAAAAAGTCACCAGTTCAATTCCCAGTCAGGGCACATACCTGGATTGCAGGTTCCATCCCCAGCTGGGGAACATATGAGAGGCAACAATTGATGTTTCTCACATCCATGTTTCTCTCCCTTTCTTTCTCCCTTGCTTTCCCTCTCTCTAAAATAAAATCTTTTTTAAAAACACAGTATATCCACACAATGAAATATTATTTAGCAATAAAAAGAAATGTGGCAATGTCGTGTGGATGAACCTTGAAAACATTATGGTAAGTGAAAGAAGCCAGTCACAAAAGATCATTTACTGTACGATTTCATTTATACATAATGTACAGAATAGTCTTGATTTAAATCAATGGAAACAAAGTTGATGAGTGGTTGCCAGGGGCTGAGGTAAAGAGGTAATGGGGAGTGACTTATTAGATATGAAGCTTTTTGAGGGAGTGAGGAAAATGTCTTAAAAATTAAGTAATGGTGATGGTTGCACAATTGTAAAAGCACTAAAAGAAAACACTAAAAGGGTGAATTTAATGCCATAAAAATTATATCTCTGCAAAGCTGCTGTTTAGAAAATACATTATAGAAAAATAAGGAAGTTAAAGTTGTACACCTAAATACGTGTATTGGAAGACGCATCTCCTACAGCAGGGGTTTGACAACATGTGTATTGGTTCATGGACTCTGAAATTGGTTTCAGTTCCGGTCTGGGGATATTTAGATGGAAAACTCCACGTTTTTCCTTGCTTTGCTGATCACTACATGGAATGATCCTGTGGAGATCATTCCAAAAAGAAAGTCCAAAATACAGTCAAAGCCAATGTATTAGTTTCCTAATTAGAATCTAATTACATTCACAACTCTATTTCCAAATAAGGTCACATTCTGAGGTACCAAGTGTTAGTTACTAGGGGTTAAATTTAACATGCCTTCTGAAGGATGGATACGATTTAACCCACAGCAGCCAGAGTCTTGGTGACAGAACAGAAGCTCGATGCTTTTGGTGAACTTTCTGGAGATGCTTGCAGCATTCAAGAGTTTCTGTATATTGTTTAATATATATTGTTCAATATGATATTCTTTGATTTTGGGAAGAGTTAAATAAACAAGATTCTTGGTCCATATAAGATTTTTTAATTAATATATTAATTCTTCTTAAAGGTTTGATGGGCTCTCTTGTGATAAAAGGATTAAATTTGCTGTTTAATTCCTGAAGGGAGGACAAGAGAAGAAGCAAATTGCAACTCAATATAAAGAACTTCTTCTGAAGTGTTCTGTCTTGGTAAATAATGAATTCTCTATCATTGGAGATAATCAAGTACAGAGTGGATGAACACTATTGGAGGAGCTTCTTGAGAGAATTGATGCTTCATTTAGGATTTGTTTAGGATCTTTCCAATTTTAAGAATCTGACCCTACTATTCAGTACTGTGCATTGAGAGTCTTGCATGAGCAAGGCACTATGTTTTAATGAACAGTATTTTAGGCCAAACTATGAAGCAGTCACCTGTACCATTCAGCATGTGAATTATCCCTCTTTCCCCACTTCCCAAGCATCCAGACAACTTCTTTCTGGCCTCTCATCTCCTGCAGGGGTTGAGATACACTATGATGGTTTTTTAGGAACCTGAACCATCCAGATGGGCCAGAGGACAGAAACTGTGAGCAGTCACCACAAAAACAGCATCCTTCAAAGTGATGTTATCTGGCATTTG